GATGTATTTACTATGGGGACGAGCGCGGGAGGGCGAGGCAACGGCAGGCCGGAGGCTATACAACAGTCAGCTGACCCCGGCGATAGCCGCACACCCTCGAAGACACTGAAAACAGCCACCTGAAATCCGTGCAAACGAGAAAGAGCAAGGGAGGAGCGGGAGGGGAGGCTCGAGCGAGATGGCAACGGATGACCATCAAGTGCGGCAACTTCGCCGTGGTACGCAGCATAAACTTGTTAAAAGGATCAGCTACTTCCACTCCCCAGATGCCAGGACGATGTATTTACTATGGGGACGAGCGCGGGAGGGCGAGGCCACGGCAGGCCGGAGGCTATACAACAGTCAGCTGACCCCGGCGATAGCCGCACACCCTCGAAGACACTGAAAAGAGCCACCCGAATCCCGCAGAGCAGTCCTGGCCACATTAGTGGCCGAAAACGAACTACGCACGTGAAATAACCTAACCTACCGAAAAGAGACTACATGATTTTGAAGGCAGCATCCATCATCCATTTTTCTCTGAGAGCATTGGCAGAATGTGTCATGGCAAGGGCGGCTGCGCGGGCGAACTGAGGCGAGTGCGCTGCAGCTAGCTCGGTGCGGCGGGCAGGCGCGCCTTTGTCTCGGCCTTGGAGGATAAGGTGGGGCAGGCCAGTCGACGAGCAGATGCCACCCTTGCCAGAGCAAGACTTACATAAGCTGGGGAAGACGCCAGCATTCCAGCCGGCCACTGTCGTCGGCTTCTTAAAGGGTGTGCCAAAGCGGCACATGTCCATCTTGTGAATGGTGCACGACGAATCCGAAAGAAGCTTGACCATCTCGGGGGCGTGCCAAAGCAGCGACCCGCGAGGGTTTTCCACAAAGACAGGGCAGCCGATCTGGATGCAGAGCCGGATGAGCCGGCAAGAAAAGTAGAAAGAGCGATTGCCAACGCGAAGGCGGTCCAGCCTAGGTCCGGACAAGCCTGGTTTCCCCATGGGGAAACGACTGGAGCGCAAAGGGTCTCTGAGAGCCTGCGACCAGGACGTGCAGGGAGTGCCCAGCCACAGACCTACAATGGCCTTGCTCAGAAGCCACCCGCGCACGACCGACTCGAACGTGGTGTGGAGGTGATCCTCACAGGCCCCGTGAACGAGGTCCAGGTCCAGGCACCCGTAGCCAAGGTCGCGGATGCGCTTGGCGATGCGACCCTGTCCTGCAAACAGCTCCAGAAACAGGCAGCTCCTCCACTTGCTCGCGCCAGCACGGCCTCGGCGGTACCGCCGCTGCAGGTGAAGCCGCACGGCCTGAGGCGACGCCGTCAGCGTCGGCGGCGCCGCGTGGCGGCGGGGGCCCCGGGCCTCCCCCGCAGGCGGGGGCCCGCGCTCGCGGGCAGCTCGGCCCGCACCAGCGGCAGCAGGGGGCCGCCCCGCAACGCGTCCAGGAAGTTGCGCTCCACGATCACGCCGAACAGCAGCACGTCGGGGTCCACCTTGGCGGCCTCCCGGAGGAGGCGGGTCTCCTTGCTGCAGCGGCGGAGCGAGGCCACTGTGGCCCAGCGACCCCGCCGCATGACCTGTTCCGGCGTCATGGCGCCCGACAGCAGGTCCTCGCTGGCGCCCTGGTGACGCAGAGAGTACAGATGCGGCTGCAAGTGCATCAGGCCCAGGGCGTGGCACGCATCCTCGAAGAGCCGAGCAATCGACGTAGGCAGGAAGTCCCACCAGGGTCCGTCGCCCGCGATCACGAAGAGCCCCATGCGCGGCTGGCCCCAGGCCGCCAGCGTCCCGGCGATGGCGAAGGCGGCCCGGCGAGGCCGCGGCAGGCGCATCCTGGTCGGGGCGCGCCGGCGCCAGCCCGCCAGACAGCGCGAGGCCCTCGGCAAGGCCAGAGCCGTCCTTTTGTGCAGCGCCGGCGTGTAGTGTGCCAGCGACGCCAGCAGCAGGGGGCCCTCGTTCGGGGCGCGGCCCTCGACGCACATCGAATTCAGGTACGTGACCAGGGCGACGTCCACCTCGAACCCGGTCGTCCAGTCGATGGTCATGACCAGGCAGAACTGCAGAAAGGCCCGGAGGTATACCCGGTACAGGCGCTCCGTGCCCGGCCTGACCGCCGTGCGCTCCAGCAACGAGAGGCCGCCCGCAGGCCCCCGCTCGGACGCCACCTGGCGAGCCGCCGCGGCTCTGCGGTGGCGATCCGCCTGGCGGCGAGAGGCCGAGGCACCCGCCATCGAGGTCGGCTCCTGCAGGTGTCGGCCCGTCAGCCTCGGGGGGCCCCGCGCGAGAGCAGCCAGGCTGGGCGGCAGCAGCGCGTCGGTAAGGCCCTGAGAACCAGCCTAAACGCCCGCGAGAGAGAGCATCGGCAGGGTTGAACTCGCTACGCGTCCAGCGTATGTGAATAGCACAGTTTGAACACAGCGCCAAGCAACACAGTTTACGAAGAGTACGACGAAGATGAAGGGATGCGGCCCTCCTTTACAACAACCCAGGGCCAACGGCATGTTGTCGACGAACAGTAGAATATGCTTCCCGAAAGCGGCCCTGGACCTCATGATGTGCTTGATGCCCAAGACGCACGCGTCCCCCTCCAGAGCCAGAATGTTGTCGGGCACGACGACCCTTGAGGCGATAACAGGAGCCCAGCGAGCCCCGTCGAAGAACTCCTTGGGCACCTCCATGAACTCCCTCGGGCGCACCCGGATGAAGGATTCCAGCCCCAAGACGTCCAGGCCTTGCAGTCCGGCAGGCAGCGAAGCTGTGTCGTATGCGGAGGATGGTAGAGGCTGAGGGCGGAGGGCTCTCTCGCGGGCCTTCTCGGCACCGTGCACTCGGTAGCGCCACCTCTCGCACTGGCGGCCGTGCTGCGCCGCAGCGTCAGGCCGCGCCGGCCGCGCGGCGACGCCGACTCCGAACTCGGAGGCGTCGCTCACTCCGACTACGTCGTGCCACGGGCTGCTCAGGTCCTTCTGTAGGAGCGGGAGCAGCGAGCGGACGAGCCACAGCTCCTGGCGCACGGAGGGCCACAGCCGCGAGGTCGTCGGCAGGCCGGCCGCTATGTACGGGTACACGGAGCACAGCACGCACAGCAGCTCACGGCGGATCAAGCAGGCCCAAGTGATGTGGCCCACCAGCACCTCAAGCATCTTGCTGGAGCAGCAGCCCCGGCGCAGCACGGTATCCAGCGCCGCACGGAGCCGCCGCAGGTTGCGGCGCTTGATGGACAGCCAGCGGCCCTGCCGGAGCTCCAGGCCCACCAGCACGGCGTCGGGGGAGGCGTCCGTCTCCTCATGGACGGTCAAGCCCCACCCGCGCAAGACTGCCGACACGTCGTCCCGGCGCTGAGTGACCAGCGAGGCGTCGTGGCCGAAGACGTAGAAGTTGTCCACGTAGCCCGCCGCCGCCGTGTCTGAGCGAGCGGGCAGGGCCACGCTGGAACGACCGTCCTCCACAATCTGCGAGTCCGCGAAGCCCGCCTGAGAAATGGCGCGCATGGTCACAGCCTGGCAGAAGTGCATCGCCCACGACCACCCCATGGGCAGGATGGTAAGGCAGGGAGCCAAGCTGGTCCCTGCCGGAATGCTGACCCCCTCCAGCTCCGTGATGCCCGCTAGGGTTGAGGAAAGCGGGGGCAGCGTGAAGTAGTCCTCTAAGCCGGACATCGGCCTGAGACGGTAGAAGGCATTGTCGAGGTCGCCGGCCGCCACGCAGAGGGGCATGCCGCCCGACTCCACCGAGGACACCGCGGCCGCCGTAGGCAGCCGTGTCGCCGGCGCCGGGTGGAAGTAGGCGTTGGCGTACCTCGTGTCGAACACTATGCGAAGCTTGCCGGACTTCTTCCTCGCAAAAAATACACCAATCATGTGCTTGGTAGTGGGCGCCGCCTTGAAGCGCAGCATACCACATTGATGAAGCCGCCGAACAAAATCACCATACAAAACTGGATCCCGCGCCAACCGAGGGTCAACGAAAGGTCCGCGAGGGCAAGCTTGTCGGGCCCCGAGCAGCGCCTCGTCGGGCGTCTTGAGCAAATTATGTCGCCAATCCCGTGCCCAATCAGCATCATCCTGAGTGAGGCAGCCCACAAGGTCGACGGGGCTGGAACCCACCTCAGGCCAGGAGACCAGCTCCTTCGAGTACGGGACCCGTGCGCCACCGTCTTCGGAGTAGACGGTGGAGCCACTGAGAAGCTCGCGGAGGGCTTCTTCACAAAAACCTGGCTCGCTCGGCATCGCGCCCATCCCCAGGTAGCAGTCCTCCAGAAAGTCAAGGCTAGTCTGCTGTCCCAGGTTCGCGGGCGCCGACGGAGGTGCACCAGCATGGCCATACAGACAGTTGAGCGCGTCGATGCCCTGGTCGGCCCAGTGGAGCAGCACGTCGGAGCGGCGGAGCCGCTGGCGCACGGCCCTGCAGGGGCGGCGGCCGGGCACGCGCTCGGACCGTCGAGCCACGTGAGGAAGAGGAAAAAGATCCCGATGGCGTCTGTCATCGGTGGCGGCACTGGGGCCGCGAAAAAGGGCCTGGTGCTCGAGCTTCGCGGTGGTGGGGAGCCCCAGGTCCCGCCGCCCGCTCCACGTCACCCCTTTCCTTCCTCCTTGTCCTTGTCCTTGCCGCCCTTCTTGTTGTTGGGCGCCCTGGCGGTCTGGCGCTCCTCCCGAGCCTTGCGCCTCTCCTTGGCCACGGCGTACTCCTTGGAAAGCTCACCGCTGACGTACGCCAACAGCTGGGGGTGAACACACACGTTGCCCCGGTTGGCCGAGGTGCCGTAAAAGAGGTGGGAGTCGAGAGACTCGTCGGCATTGGTGATGAACCGATCCCGCCACCTTTCCTCCTGCACCTGGATGCTCCTGCACACCATCTCCGCAGCAGCCACGTCCGGCACATTGAGCAAATCGTAGCACACCATCTGCTCCAAGTAGAAGCAGCAGCGCTCGTGCTCCGCCACCCCCGCGTCCGTCAGCGCCAGGCGGCCCTCCGACCGCCACTTGCTGTGGCGGCCCAGCGGCGACATGCCGTTGTCCTTCATGAACAGGCACACCCACAGCGTCGTCCTCGGCCCCGAGATGGGCCAGTCCGGCCAGTCATGCTCCACGAGGCGCAGCACAGCCTCCGAGAAGCCCAGCTTCCTCTGGCCGAGGGCGTTGTACGCCACAGGCAGCACACGGGCGTCCGACTGTGCGCCAGGCGGAGCAGCGTGGGCAGCAGCGCCGGGAAGCGCCGGCGCGGGCGCCGGCGCGGGCGCCGGGGCCGGGGCAGCCGCACCGCCAGGCCCGAGGGGCACAAGGGCTCCGGGCGCTCCCGCGGGGCCCCCCAGCGCGGCCACCAGCCCGGCGACGCCCGCAGCGGGGGCGGCGGCCGGGGCTGCAGCGGCAGGCAGCAGCGCACCCACGGCCGCCGCCGCCGGCGCCGCCAGCGGCCGCCCACCTGCGTTGGCCACGATAGGCCCAGGCGGGGCGGCAAGGCCGAGACGGCCGGCGGCTGCGGCCGCGGCGGTGAGCAGCGTGGCCGGCGTCGGCAGGCTGCGGAACCTGTAGAAGCGGGCGCCAGGCGCCCACGCCATCGTGCCCCCCGCCGCGCCGCCAAGGAAGATGTCCCACCGCAGCACGTCCGGCGAGCCCACGTACAGCTCCTCGTACTCGTCCGCATCGCGCGTGATGATGCAAGCCGCGCCAGGAAGCCCTGGCGGCACGAGCACCACAACGCGTTCGTGGACCAGGGCCCCGCCCGCGACGTGGTACTGCACCCCAATGAAGTCGCCGGGCTGAACACCTGCCGCGGCCACTGACGGGTGCACCGGCGGCGCCGGCGCCGCCATCACTGCTGCAGTGCCTTGGCGCGCGCCACCCGCGCCTGAGCACGGGCCTCCTCCTCGAAGTCCGGCTCCCTGTCACCACCGACCTGAGGGCGGCGGGCCGCCACGAAGCGACCGCCCGCGCGCCAGAAGGCCAGCGCGGCGGTGAAGGCCCCGACCAGCCCGCTGGCGGCGCAGGCCAGCGCCACGGCCCACAGGCTGGGCCCGTGGCTGCTCGAGCCCTGGAGGCCTGAGCAGTCGCACCGCAGCTCCGGGCAGTGGAACTGCGGCGCGCACGAGCACGCGGGGCACTGCGCGTGCCCCTGGTTGGCCGCGTACAGCGCCACGCCGGTGCTCAGCCCGCGGCCCAGCTCTGGCAGCAGCAAATCGGCCGCCGCGCGAGCGGCTGAGAGCATACGGGCGGAGTTCGCTCGAGGCTCGAACGAGATGGCAACGGATGACCATCAAATGCGGCAACTTCGCCGTGGTACGCAGCATAAACTTGTTAAAAGGATCATATATATATGTATATATACATATACATATATATATATATATATATATATATATATATAAGAGAAAGAGAGAGAGAGAGAGAGAGAGAGAGAGAGAGAGAGAGAGAGAGAGAGAGAGGAGAGAGAGAGAGAGAGAGAGAGGGATAGAGAGAGAGAGAGAGAGAGAGAAAGAGAGAGAGAGAGAGAAAGAGAGAGAGAGATATAAAGAGAGAGAGAGAGAAAGAGAGAGAGAGAGAGAGAGAGAGAGAGAGAGAGAAAGAGAGAGAGAGAGAGAGAGAAAGAGAGAAAGAGAGAGAGAAAAAATTGCCTGACGAGGGACCCAACCATATGCAGGTGTGAGTACCGCAATAGTGATTCACTTTTTCGGTGGCGATCCCTATGAGGCGACGAACCGTGCTAGGGGTGTGCCGACATGAGTGGCGTGGTACACAACGCGAACGAAAACGATTGATCTGAATACGTAGGGAGACTGAACGCAGGTGAATCTGCGCGCGTTCGTCTGACTGTGAATGGATCTGCGTGCGAGCGAGTCTACGTGCATGAATGCGAATATGACAAAGCGTGGTACAAGTGTGTATGAAAGTCAACAGTTTGACAATGGCTGCCTCTGAGTACTCGTGACGCTGGGCGTGGCCGCCGCAAGGAGCTTCCCCGGGACTCCCCGACGGCATCGCCCGCGCGCCGCGACGCCAATGTCGGCGCGCCCCCCCGCGAGGATCGCGCCCGCTTCCTCCCCTTCCTTTACTCCCTCTTTGCCCGCGCACTCAAAAATCCAAGGCTGCGGGAGCAGCGCAGCGCGGAGTCCCCGCGACGCGCGCAGGTCGCCCCGGAGGGGTCCCAGCGACGCGCGCGGGTCGTCCACTGCGCGGAGCAAAGAGAGCTAGCTGGCTGGCTGATAGCTGGCAAGGCTCTTGCCGCTGGGCAGAGCGACGACGGGCGAGCGAGGCGCTGGGCAGAACGCAGCACGGAGCCCCCGCGACGCGCGCAGGTCGCCCCGGAGGGGTCCCAGCGACGCGCGCGGGTCGCCCGCTGCGCGGAGCAAAGAGAGCTAGCTGGCTGGCTGGGACCTGCGGTGGGGCTCCATATGGGGCCACGTAACGCTGTACTGGGCAAGGGAGACGCATGCGGACTGCGCCACGGGGACCTTCGGTGGAGTTCCCTATGGGGCCACGAAACGTGTGAGGGGTGTGCCGAAATGAATGGCGGGGGCGCATGCGGACTGTGCCGCTGGGACCTTCGGCGGAGCTCCTATGGGGCCACGAAACCTGTGAGGGGTTTGCCGAAATGAATGGCGGGGACGCATGCGGACTGCGCCACGGGGACCGTCGGTGGAGTTCCCATGGGGCCACGAAACGTGTGAGGGGTGTGCCGAAATGAGTGGCGGCAAGAGAGAGAGAGAGAGAGAGAGAGAGAGAGAGAGGGAAAGAGAGAGAGAAAGAGAGAGAGAGAGAGAGAGAGAGAGAGAGAGAAAATTAGCCTGGCGAAGGACCCAACCATATGCAGTTGTGAGTACCGTCGTTGTGAGTATCGCAATCGGTGGAGATCCCTGTGGGCCGCGAAAAGCTGTCCTGGGTAGGGGAGACGCATGTGACTGCAGCAACTGTTGCCTTCGGTGGAGCTCCCTATGGGGCCACGAAGCGTTGTCCTGGGTGGGTGGAGACGCATGCGAACTGCGGCACTGGGGCTTTCGGTTGAGCTCCCTGTGGGGCAACGAAACGCTGTCCTGGATGGGGGAGACGCATGCGAGTGCAGTTGTGGCCTTCGGTGGAGCTCCATATGGGGCCACGAAGCGCTGTCCTGGATTGGGGAGACGCATGCGAACTGCGCCACTGGGACTTCGGTGGAGCTCCTTATGGGGCTACGAAAGGTTGGCCTGGGTGGGGGAGACGCATGCGAACTGCGCCACTGGGGCCTTCCTGGGTGGGGGAGACGCATGCGAACTGCGCCACTGGGACCCTCGGTGGAGCTCCCTATGGGGCCACGGAACGTTGTCCTGGGTGGGGGAGACGCATGCGAACTGCGCCACTGGGGCCTTTGGTGGAGCTCCCTATGGGGCCACGAAACGTTGTCCTGGGTGGGGGAGACGCATGCGAACTGCGCCACTGGGACCCTCGGTGGAGCTCCCTATGGGGCCACGAAACGCTGTCCTGGGTGGGGGGGACGCATGCGAACTGCGCCACTGGGACCTCGGTGGAGCTCCCTATGGGGCCACGAAAGCGCTGTCCTGGGTGGGGGAGACGCATGCGAACTGCGCCACTGGGGCCCTCGGTGGGGCTCCCTATGGGGCCACGAAACGCTGTCCCGGGTGGGGGGGACGCATGATAACTGCGCCACTGGGACCCTCGGTGGAGCTTTCTATGGGGCCACGAAACGCTGTCCTGGGTGGGGGAGACGCATGCGAACTGCGGCATTGGGACCCTCGGTGGAGCTCCCTATGGGGCCACGAAGCGCTGTCCTGGTTGGGGGAGACGCATGCGAACTGCACCAATGTGGCCTTCGGTGGGGCTCCCTATGGGGCCACGAAACGCTGTCCTGGGTGGGGGAGACGCATGCGAACTGCGCCACTGGGACCCTCGGTGGAGCTCCCTATGGGGCCACGAAGCGCTGTCCTGGGTGGGGGGGACGCATGATAACTGCGCCACTGGGACCCTCGGTGGAGCTCTCTATGGGGCCACGAAACGCTGTCCTGGGCGGGGGAAACGCATGCGAACTGCGCCACTGGGACTTCGGTGGGGCTTCCTATGAAGCCACGAAACGTTGTCCTCCTGGATGGGGGAGACGCATGCGAACTGCGCCACTGGGGCCTTCGGTGGAGCTCCCTATGGGGCCACGAAACGCTGTCCTGGGTGGGGGAGACGCATGCGAACTGCGCCACTGGGACTTCGGTGGAGCTTCCTATGGGGCCACGAAAAGCTGTCCTGGGTGGGGGAGACGCATGCGAACTGCGCCACTGGGACCCTCGGTGGAGCTCCCTATGGGGCCACGAAACACTGTCCTGGGTGGGGGAGACGCATGCGAACTGCGCCACTGGGCCCTTAGGTGGAGCTCCCTATGGGGCTACGAAACGTGTGAGGGGTGCGCCGTGAGCAGAGGCAACGAGGGAGAGGAGGGCGGGGGGAGGAGGCAGCGGGAGGAGGAGGAGGAGTGAGGGAGACGCGGGGCACCGTCTCTTCAAAACGAGGACCCAACACCACAGGATGGTTGGGAAAAAAGAGATGACAACGATGAATCAACAGGAATGAAACGAATAGCGGTAGAGAGATAAAGAGAGATAGAGAGAGAGAGAGAGAGGGATAGGGAGAGAGAGACAGTGAGAGAGAGAGAGAGAGAGAGAAGAGGGAGAGAGATAAGAAAAGAGAGGGAGAGGGAGGTCTCGCGGCACTCCTTGGAGCCAGCACGGCGGGGAAGCACGAAGGAGGAGGACGAGGAGGAGCAGGGGAGGGAGGACCATACCTCTTTCGCAACGAAAGGGTTTGCGCCATTGTTTTCTTGTTCTAAGCTTTTTGTTTTGACATCCAGAAGTCGATGTTGAGCCCAGAAGACCATCAATGAATGATCCAGGATGGGAAGCTGGTCCCATGGATGGACGTGGTCGAGGGTGTCGGAGGGTCACGGATTGAAGATGTGATCCTCGGAGATACGGCTATCGACAAGCTCTGGAGGCCCCGCAGGACCATTAACGAATCGTTTTTCTTCATGAGAGGGCGGCGCCACGTGCGGTACCCTGAAATGAAAAAATGGTTTCAGGGATGCACGTGGTCGAGAGGTCCGGAGGGTGACGGATCCAAGAAATCATGGCGTCGCAGGTATGGGTATTGAGGAGCTCTTGTGTGACTCAAGGACTAGAGACCAGAGCTGGCCCCAGGGGAGGGCTCGAGCTCAATCTGGGACATCTCCAGGACACTCACAACCCCAGCCGGCGCACGGCACGGGTCGGCGACGAGACGGCGACGGGCGACCATCAGGCGAGATCCCGCCCAGAACACCCAAGCGCTTTCAAGGGAAACGAAATACCCTCTGTGCTGCAAGCACTGTTCGGGGAGCAGCAGCAGATGAAGTTCGACTGGACTGGAGAGACACGAGAAGAGCAGGCAGCGGAAAGTCACCCCAGGTCAAATCTGCACGCGCTATCACCCTTCTCTCTCGTCCTCGTCTGCTCCGTTCGTCTCCCCCCTCGATTTGTATGTTCTGCTCCTCCGCTCTCTCCTGCTCTACTCCTTTCAAGGGCGACGACCTCGACGACGGCGGGGACCCCGACGACCACGAATACGACCCCGACGACGACGACTCCCATCGCAGCCGCTCGCTGTCTTGTGGGGAAACCAAAAGGTACCGACACCGCTACTCCCCAAACCTCTCCCAGGGTGCGCTCTGACCAAGATTTCGAAGCGAATTCAGTGGTGGCGACGAGGGCCTCCCAAGCAACCTAAGAAGGGGAACGCGAGGGAAAGGAAGCGGTAGGGGTACCGTTCCTCCTCTGATTCTCGCTCCCCCCTGCCGGCGCTCCTCGGCCGTGACGTTCCCCGAACCGACGGTGACGTTGCTGCCAATCCTGCCGGGGCGCCACGGGGCGCGGGCACCCTCGCGTCCTCACGCCGTCGCCCCCCACCAGAAAAAGGGGCAGCCCTCGTTTGTCTCCGAAAGGATGCGATCAGAGCTCGTGTTGGGGAGGAGGAGGAGGAGGACGAGGAGGAGTAGGAGACGATCGTACGAGGAATATGCAGATTCGTAGGAGTAGTAGTGGTGATCGTACTAGTAGCAGCAACTGAAGCAGTAGTAGTAGTAGTAGTAGTAGTAGTAGTAGTAGTAGTAGTAATAGTAGTCGTAGAAATGGTAGTAGTAGCAATAGTACTAGTTGTACTAGTAGTAGCAGTAGTAGTAGTAGTAGTAGTAGTAGAAGT